AGTGGGCCTCACGCCACCAGCCACTTTAACTTAGCCTTGCCTCTCAGAGCGTATTCTCATCTAGGTCGGTAAAATTCAATGACAGCATGAGGCCTAGTAATATAATTGGGGGAAAATTCACTACTAGTCCTTCATCGCTTAGTGCGATTTAGGGTGAATACAGCTATTATTCAAGATCTAGTGGTAGTTTAAAAACATACTCAATCTGAATATAAAGGTTATAACACCCGCTAAAATTTATGTTTATTCTGCCCATTCTCATAATTATATAATCACGAGAATATGTGTATTACTTAGATACTTCAGGCCCCTATTTACATTTATATACCAGTGCATAGTTTCTAATCGGTTGAACGTTGTTTTATAGCTAGCAAATCGATCAAATTGCTTAGAGCATCCTATAAGGATTCAAATGTCTTGATTGACCCGCGCAACCTAAATACACCTCATTTTACTTACTCTAGCCTTGATGACCTATGCAATTGTTTTTGCTCATATCTCTTTACAGTTTTTGACAAGGATATCTCTTAAGTATCACATTGCTTTTTCTTCTTATATTACACTTAATTTCCAACTTTTGATCTTAGCTCCGCCTTCCTTACTTGTTAATTCAGTCTTAAATGCCCCTTATTTTCCCTAAGGCGCCTCTACAAAATGGTTCTAACAAAAAACTACGAAGAGCTGCGTTCCGGTAGCCTCATGAACACATTGGTGCATCTACAAAAAGTTTGCAATCATCCCTACCTGATGCCCGCTGGTGCAGCGATTGCCCCTCGCCTCTCACTGCCAGGTTCGTGTATCTTTAATTATCCAGAATCTATGCTATTATATACTGGATCTCCTATCATACACACTTTATGAAATGCGGATCTTCTATCTGAGCTCTGATGTGACCTTTCAAGCTGGCTCGCTTATTGTTTGAGCGTCACAAACTTAATCAGGCTAAATTAATCCAACTGGTTCTTCATATATACATAATAGCTGTTGAATTTTTCATCGTTTATTTCATAGTGATGTGATCAGTTCTCTCTAAGATTACTTAGTTTCGGAAAATCGCATCTAGAATAATCTGCTCTATATTTATTAAGATTGTAAATTCTGATCTTGATATAAACATGAGTGAATTATGGCTCATCAACCCCACTCGGCCTAAATCTCAATCCTTTCCAATCCTTAAGTATCCAATCTACCAGGCTGAAATATCAGTCATCATAGATAAATTGAGATCAACTTATTATTAGTCGTTTTTTACCTTGTTAAATTTCACCAGCGTCCTCGAATTTTGGAAGATAGTCCAAGGTACAATTTTAAGCCATGGTAAACATGCTTCCTTGAATCATTGAAAACATTCATAAGCCAAAATTTTTGCAATTTTTTAGAACTTGGAAAATAGGAAAAAATATTATTAGACTTATATATGGTTGTCTCTTTCAGAGTCTTGTGTGTTGCCAATCTTATAGGGCACGCATATACTTTATATATCTGGCATAATCGCTTTGCAAATAACTATTTTAAGCGCCATTGAATAGTTCATAAGTCTGCCGAGCTTATTTACTATATTTATGTACAATTGGTCACCCCGTTTACAAATAACGTCGCTTACCATACGTTCAAGCCTTCTTGTCATAGCCTGACTTAGATCTAATGGCTATTATTTATCCACTGAAAAATCCATAACTTTATTGCATCATTCGCCAACACCTTTCTTGGCTTGATATAATTATTTCTATTTCCATTTTTGCATATTCATAGAATCAGATCGCTCTTCGGGCCATCTTCCGCCCTTCAAGCCTGATATCCTCATCAATGTGAGCGGAAAACTGGAACTCATGATGCGACTTCTCGAAGGTCTCAAGGCGGGAGGCCATAGGGTTCTCATTTTCTCAAAAATGACTAGTCTTCTCGACTTGTTGGAGGAGGCGCTCATCTTTGCGAAGTTAGCCTGCGCATTATTTTAGCTCATACATCCTATCGCATTTGGCTAGAGGAACTAATACTTTATTTTTTTCTAAGACTCTTATGAACCTAAATACTTTTTCTACATATAGGCCTATCTCCTTGGGCTAGCTTGTAGCTCCATCCCAGTAACTTAGATGGCTATTCTCATTCTATTTGAAACTTGCCGTATAGGCTAACTTATCTACATCAGATTTAACAATCAACCCATTGGCACCATCTAGCCCAGTTGTTCCCAAACTTTTCCTAGTCGCGGCGCCCTTTTTCAATTACAATTTTTCCATGGCACCCTACCTTAAGTATGACTATTCGTAAGTAAGAGATAAAAATAAATAAAACTCGTGTATCCTTATTATTTTTTTTACTTTATTGGCATTAAATTTATATTTAATAATTAATTTGATGGATGAGTCTGCAAATCACTGCACATTTTCTCAAATTGAAGCTTTTACAATATTTCGCGGCTCCCCGGGGCGCCGTGGCGTACAGTTTGGGAATCACTGATCTAGCCTATAAATAGCTCCAAACCACAATTTTCAAGATGCATACTTAAAAAGTGAACGTGCTTGAGCCGAAACGTCAGATTATTTAATCATATCAATAAGATATTCACCCACAATGCTTTACTATTATCTATGAGCTCAACCACTTCCAACTCTTGCTTTGCATTTCGACCCCGAACGCTAGACATTTTACCACAGCTTATTTTTTTGAAATTTTGTGTATATAATCATATAAATCAGTTTAATTAACGTGAGTAATTCCCACTACCGCAATTGCTATTAATTTTTTTCTGAGGAAGGCTTTTTGTTGATATTTTCTTGGGGTTTCTTTTTATTCAAGCTCT